CCCATCAACTTCGTGACATTAGCAATTTAGCAATTTCTGCTAAACTTACGCCACAATGGTACTATATTCCATAGTTCTGTTTTAGTATTGATTTTTTTTAAAGAAATGTCAAAGTATTTAAGTTAATGACTGCATAGATGGCTAAGGTGTTGCATTTTTAAGTGTCTAAAATTTACCACATGGATATTTACTTTTGACCCAAGATTTTAAACATACATAGACACATATAAATATATATATATATATATATATATATATATTTATACACACACACACGTATATAGTCAGAGTAGCTGAGATATTTGGATAGCAAGGCATTGAATGACTGTGGTTTATAAGTGGATGTTTTTGCTTTTCACATAAGAATATAAACTTTTTCTCATAGAGATACATTGACAAAGGAAACCGGACATACACTTGGACACCTGTCAATGGTACAGATTACAGGTAATCACTATATTCAGATGGATACCTTAGAAAAGAGTTATTGGGTGTGTTGTTTTTCACTTGTGTTTAGTAGCCATTTTCTCTACAGATGAATATTAATTCTTTGTGTTTTCATAAACCATGTTCAATTTAATTCAAATGGAAACATTGTGCATTGCAGCATTAAAATATACTAAAGTTATAGTTTCTGATTTTCAAAATGGACAAAAGCCAACATCATAAAATTTGGAATGCAAACGTAAGTGATATTAATCTATTGAATATTTTGTATATTTATGTTAGTAATAATAAATGTTTACATAATCCACTTAGTAATTTGTAGTGACCACCTCCACTGACACCCTAAATTAAGTTGTCATTTACTTGACACTACTTACATTTGGTTGCAAATTAACTTAAGATAAAACTTATGACTTCATTATATAACTGGATATAAAATGTCCTTGATAAAATAAATGTCTTATCCTGATATCTTCAATGGACTGGACTTTGGAAAATTCAAAGTAGGCCTATAATCCTATAATCGCTTGGAGGATCTCCATTCTTCAACATTAAGTGAGCATTCCTCCATTCTCTCCCTCTTACTGTTCTCTGAGAATTTTTTCAGAACTTTTCGTACAGTTTTACCATGTATATGAGTCTGTATATACTGAGCATTTCCTTTTTACAACCCATTTGGCTTTCATCCTCCCTAAAGTCCCATCTTTTAATCTAATCCCACCACTACACCAACCTCCATCTTTTTGTCTTTTTAAAGGTCACCTCCAAATCATCTCTATATGTTTCAGTCCTGGCTCACTATCCAACATAGATCACAGTTTTCAAATTATTTATAACATATACATACTTATTTAAAATGAAACAAAAATCTCTTACAAACTTTAAAAGGTAAAAACTCAAGTTTCAAGTTTTTGTTACTGGATCTCACAGGCATAAGATCAGTACATGCAGTTGCTGTAAAAGCATCAAAATATTTACGCCCAATTTCTATAGGTAGCTGGTTGTAAATTGCTAAGAATTTACAGAAGGGCCAGGTCATTGGACCACACAAGTATCACTGAGATACAATGTCAAGGTTTGATTTTCTTTTTTTCCCATTCTTCTATTGATAGCCTTTCCCATGTCTTAGCCACCTATGCCCATTATGGTTTGCAGCTCTTACCATGGTAATACTACACCTAATTGATGAGATTGTTTTCATACAGCTCTTGGTAGGATATATTAGCATTCCATCCCTTGCCTCTGGCAGGCCAGATCCAATAATCCTTTGACTCAACCGAATGTTGAAGTGCATCAGTCCCCTCTACCCCCCTCTTTATGTCCTTGAAAGCCCTTTATTACATATATATATGCTGAAAGCCCTTTATTACATATATATATGCTTTGGTCCTTACTGACCTCACTCTGTTGTATACACCATCAACTCCCTTCATCATAGATTTGGCAAACAGCTGTTTGGCTAACCCCAATCCTGGTTCAATTCATATTAGTGCAAATACCACACAGCTGCATCTACACAGCTACAAATGGGTGAAAATAGAAATTCCATGATGGATAGGTCACCTCAAATTCATGGCCTCTAATTCTGATGGGTCCTAGAGATCTCAGTAGTCAAAGTAATGTAAGATGTTCCTGGATGACATTTGATGGCTTCTGTCTGTCCATTTTTTCTCAAGTTATGGATTTATTACTTACATAACTGACAAATTAGAATTGATTAAAGTGAATTCTCCCCACCATGGTATATAATCATTTGCATCTCTATCTTCTCTCTTACCTTATCATAGTAATAGAAGTGACCTTATTAAAACTTGAATTAGGCTATTTCATTTCTTTAGTTAGAGCCTTTAGTAAATTTGTTATCTTATTTACTGTAAAATATAAATTTTGTTAAAGTCATCAGAAGTTCTAGTATCTGACCTCATCAACCATGAATTTGTCTCTGTGACTCTCCCTGAAACACCTTCACATGCTTTTTTTTTTCCCATTCCTATTTAACATATTTTGACACACGCCCATTCTGTATACTTACACACATGATTTTTTTCCTTCTGCTTCTGTGATGATTATTGCTACCTTTCAGTGGGAGAACACATTTATCAAAAGTTTTGATGGGGGGAAAGAAGTAAGCTGGTAGCCTTGTCTCTTTTGGGCAGATTTCATTATGAAACGATATCAAATGCAGTGATTGGAGAAATGCTCTGTGCTTCTGTGGCACAGATGAAGAAATTCTAAGGTAGACAAGGTAGATACTTTGACCCTGACAGGGATCAGACATGATGATTAGACCTGTTGTAGTCATACTTACAATTTGGGGGCATTTTCAGTTATCACTAAGCCGAAGTTAAATATGTTTGCAGTAGTCTCTAAATTTCCACTCCTGTCTTCAACCCCATCAATCACATACCCTATCACTATATAGACTGTGACCAGATGTGTGTTCTTTTCTACTGTTCTGAATGTCATTCTTTTTACAAAATGTCATCTCCCATTTTCACTCCAGGTAAATGTAGACTTCCAGTCTAATATCATCACACATTCTAAGCCTAACCTGTCCTCTCTTTTTTTCCCCATATAAATTACTTTCCAAGAACAATTCTGTCTCCCTCTTTGGCATGTATTTCTCACACATTTCATTATGAAATGTACAAATTTAAATCAGATTGAATACATTTATATTATAAATACTTGATTAACTCTATACAAATAAAATGACAGTTTAGACTAAAGTGTAATGTATAAGTTGAAAAAATGGCATGTTTTTAGTTTATGAATGAGGTACCAAATTTCATTTAGTCATGTCTGTCTTGATGTAACTTGTCCCACATTTTGAAATATGGTAACTAATTAATAGGAAGTGCTGTTTTCCAATGAAGCTTGATTTTTACATAGATTAATGACTGAGTTGGAACATGTTTTGTATTACATTGAGCTGAGTTAACTAAGTTTATTTTATGAGTTGCAAAAAAATGTTGCATGTTGTCTACTGTTCATCTGGTGACCACTGGCTTTTTTGGACTTTAATCTCCGGTGTGGAATAACGTAGTTTTGTTCTATAGGTTTATATGGAGAGGGATAATAAATACGACATAGGCACCATCAATGACTAGGACTGTTGGTAAAGACGTTATCTTCTATAGGGTGAAGAAGTAATTTTTCCTGGAAATGGAAGTAAATTAAGTGTAAATGTATTTTTCTATACAGTGGGTTGTAGCTATTGATAACTTGAGGCTCACAGACCAATAAATGAGTATTTGATAGGTCAGTTTTCAAATTCTAGTGTGTTCCTCATGAGCTTCCATTCTTTTTATGGTATATGATCTGTATTCCCAGCTTACAGAGTGACACTGTGGTAGCGACATGATATAATGTACTGGTTTTAATTAAAAGAAGTTTCTTTCAGCAGTAAATACAGAAGGGACAGTAACAAATGCACTGTTTCTGTTGAGAGGAATTTGTAGGAGATAGTCTTCAATGCTCATTAATTTTGCTCTCCCTATTATAAATGGCAAGTGACTCATGACAGGTCATCTTGCTTTCAGACTAATTGTACTGCTTACTTTATTTTTGATCTGTTTCCACTTAAAAGTTCAGCTATAAAGTTATGTGGAAATTTTTCATTAGATCTATGTAATATATTCTGACTTTGTCCATTAAGGAAAATCTATGAATTTGTTAAAGGTGAAGAAAGGTCTAGGACTCAGAGGTAACAAGCATCCACTCATTTTGCTATCTTGATTACATAATGAAATTAGAGCAAATGAGCCATCACTCTTTCCTCTTCAAAGAGGGAGTTGTGACATATTAAAAGGGCATGGAACTTGAAATTTTACATTTTATCTTGTTCTGGATTTACATGTAATAAAAATATAGAGAGAAATAAGTTATGACATTTCAGCTTGTATATCCCAAAATGCCTAGGAAACATGAGATTTGAGTGATTTAAAGATTTTTAAAGACCTAAAAATACTTAGATGCCTAGAAATGAAGTGCACAACATTTCTTGTGCATTGTTGAATATTAGATTAAATTTTAGAAGTCAATGTAGACTGATTTCATTGGTCATTGTAATTCACTATTACTTTTGAAAATATTTGCTTTAGGAGTTTCAGAGATATGTCCACATTAGTACCGGTAGTTCACAACCATCTTTGCATATTTAAAGCATCACAAAGGTTACTTGTAACTGCAAATGTGAAGATGGAATAATTAGTCATCCTACTTATGTACAGTAATGTCTATGAGGTATCAAAATTATATATATATATGTATATATATATGTTTAGTGATTTTATTGGAAATGACATGATGTTAAAATATCCCAATATCTGTCATATATTGGGTAAGAATCAATAGAATGATCAGGCCTTCCTTCTTAGCATTTTCAAGGAATGTGACTTTTCCCACTAGGAATTTGTCTAAAGATTAGTATTCAAAATAGTAGATATCATATAATAAATAGGCATTTTATCCCTTTAAAGCATAACTAAAATAGTAGGTTTTGAACCCATCAAGAGTATTTTTGATATAATTTTGTGCATTATGCAGTATAAATGATAATTCTGACATTTGAAATTTTTTTATAGTGTACATTGCCACACAGCATTTTAAAGTACATGTGTTTCACTGAGGAAGGGCATCCAGTTGGTATGATATATTAATTTGCTTGAACATACGCTTTGTTTTCTTTCTAGCCAATACTCAGAGTTATTTAATACACCTCTCCTGCAGACATTTGTTTCTCTGTTAATATGGGCTCTTTTGGTAGCTTATTTTCCATGTGTCTTTTCTGATTCCCTATAACGTAGACAACTGGATAACCCTTGATGGAAAGATGGAATTAAGTACTCTATTTGCCGAATACATTTTTTTTTTTTTTTTGTCAAAGTAATATGTCTTTTCTTTCCCACAAGGAAGATCTTTGGATTTTCCATGAACTTGATGTGTCTTTTTTTTTTTTTTTAAGTTATGTTTCATTTTTGTTTGTTTGTGTTTATGCTTCTCTTGTTTCTATTGCAGTTTGGCCTTGGTATTACCAACCTACAGTTTTTACTATATAAAAGCCAAAATAGAAGAGACAATAACTCAGGCCAGATGTAAGTACTGTGAAAGCAACTTCAGGGTCTATTTGTTATCTCCTAACATCAGATGTTTAAAAACGTCTAGATTTTGGAATACCCAAGGCTTGTACATTTAGTAGGTGTTACTACCAAATCTATAGCAATGATTCTAACCCATTCCAAACATGCAAGGAACAAGAAATATTCTACATGGATAGAATATGAGCAGGTACTCCAGTCTCACTGGCAGTCCCCACCATGCTTCCCTGCTTGCTTTGTGCTCATAGAATCATTGCAATGCTTTGTCCTCTGTTGCTGTCATTTTAAGGGTCTGCTCGCCAGCACAAATGTCTCACATAGTCCTACTCATGGCACTGTGCTAGTGAGGCTTTACCTTTTCTTTTTCTTTCTTTTGCATTTGGCAAGAATAATATTGTGCTCCACATCTTCTACTTTGTTTGAATCAATTAAATGCACTGGTCTTTGGCTTTGGTTTGGCAACAATTCACTTCTCATAATCCAAATTAATGTCTTCAGTAACTCAAATGGATTGTTTTTTAAAGCATCATTTGGAATGTGGAGGAATTATTAACACTAGTGCATATTTCAGGTCATTATTAATCTTTTGTTTGGGTTGACTGGATTCAGTAAAGTAAAATGACCATCATATCCTTTGCACTTCACTCAATTAGTAACAACCTAAATTTTTCTTGTGATAAAGTAAAAACAGATATATGGATATTTATTTACCTCTTCTCTGTGAATTTAAGTAAACTACAGTTTGTTTCATTTCTGTCAGTGATGTCTTGCTGTCCGTGGGCCATGTTCTCACAGTATATTGTACTCTTTTATATATTTATATTTCCACTTTCATTTGATAGATAGATATGATGGTCTTTTAACAGTTGGCAACTTTGCATGAGCTAGTTCACTTATTTATGAGGGGATGATTAGTGGGAGTTGGATGATTGGTAAATGCTTGTTTATAGGCTAACAGCATTGGTATTGCACCTGCATTAACCACTTTGCAAAATAGACCCTTGAAATAACCACAGTACAGAGAGGGTACTCTAGTTCAAATTGACAGGACATTCTTTCCAGTCTTCAAAAGTGTCTTTTTTTCCAGACTACAGCTGTACATAAATAAACCTCTGATCTATGCACAATATTTTTATTCAAGAAAGTCATTGAATAAAATATTGTTTGTGACCCCCTTTGCTTTACCCTCTTTTTTTTTTGTTTCCCTGCTTTCTCTTTCTGATGGATTTTCACAGCAAAAAAGGGCAAAATGAAGGGCAAGTATTTTCTTGTTGCTCAATTTCTTTGTTTAGTACACTTACATTCCCACTGATAGTTCCATTCCTACTGGATATTATCCTCTGTGCTTCTCATATGCTAGAGTTTCCTCCATGATCACTGAAACCTCAGCAGCAAAGAAAAGGGGAAGAATACTTGTGTTTTCATATGCAACCCATTTCACAGTGAAGTTTTTTTCTTGGACCTAAACATGTGTGTTTTTATCCCATACTAATTCACAGCTAACATGAAGAATGTTACTAATTCACTAAAGGCATTAATGGCTTATGACAAACATTTCATTTACCATAATATTGGTAAAAGATGTATGTTGATATTTCAAATAAAATAATTCTGACGCGAACGCCAAAGGAATATAAATCATTACTGAAAAGCTAATTTGGTTATGGTAGGATAAGAAAATAAGATGTATAGCATTTTTTCCGCTATAAATTTTGAGTCCATTTTATACAAATAAAATGGATTTGATTATATTGTGAAAACTTTAGGAACTTCAATTTGATTTTGTTTCATTTTAGAATATAGTTTGTTTTGTTTTTACTAGGTTATTATACCAATATCTGTATTAACATAGAGTCTCTGAGAATATATATTGGGTCGTTTAATGTTGAAACATTATCTTTGCAGATTCAGAAACACTGAAGCCGGATAACTTTGAAGAATCTGGCTATACATTCATAGCACCAAGGTTGGTTTGCTTTTCTCTGGTTTGTTTAACAATAGTTTATAAAGCTGTGTCTTCAGGACCAGTTCCGAGTAAGGGTCAAGACTGCCCTGGGTTAGCTGCATGCTGTAGTAGGCATGGAAGGAATCAGTAACTAATGAGTGAAACACAATCCTATTCATTTATTTAGTAAGGTAATTACTGAATAAGTTCATTGTGCTAATTGGGAGATACCATAGTGAAGAAGGAAAATGTAGTGTTTGATTTTTTTTGGGAAATCAACAAAATCTTGATGTTGTTGAAAATAACGGTGCATCCGGTATTAATGAATTTTGCAGCTGAGTGTACACACTCATGCATAAGTCTATACACACAAACCAGCTTATACATTATTCTGAAGACATATATACTTGTACATATATAGAAACAAACAGAAATATATTTGTATATAGTGGTAGAATATGTTAACTTCATAATTGATGTTCTGTAATAGTAATATTTTTGGGAAAACTGTTTAATCATATTGTGTCACACATTTTTAATATTAACCTAAGATTGTCCTCTCTCCTACCCTATTTTACTTTTCTGCCATGTAATCCCCCTTTCTAATCCTAATGTAGATCTCTGTTGTCTATCTCAATCACCTAATAATTCAAAAGTACCCTTTATCTTAATTTCCAAGATTACTTCTAAATCCCAATCTGTAGCAAAGCATAATAATTAAGTTAGCATTATCCTAGTAATTTAGGTTAAGTTAGTAAAGAGATAAGATCCCAGAGTTTGTAATATTAAATTTTTATAATGCACACTTTTTAATAAATTTACTGTAAGAACCCAAGGACGACTCATAAAAGTTCAGTTACTCTCGAGTTACTCTTCATTCTGCATATGGACTTTTGATTTTTGTTTCTTCTTGAAAATTGGGACCATATATAACTGGAGAAATCCGTGGTCACAAAAAAAAAAAAATAGTCATGGCTTCTTGTAAGTGACTCTGCCCCTGAGCATCTTCTCCGTTTGGGTTTTTCAGTGACTGACGCTGCTGGTCATACCTTTGGACACTCTTCCTCCTCTCGCTGGGTAGCACACAATTTGATTTTCTTTTCTTCTGCAATACACACCTGGCGTCTTTCATGAACTTTCCTTCCTCTACATGTCATTTACATGAGGGTGCTGGCCAGGCTCCTCCTCTTCTCCTCTTCTCTCATTATGAGTTTAAAAACAGAACGGAACCCCATGTACTCATTTTGACAACCTGGGGTGATGGTTCTCAAATGTACAGGATGACTGTGACATCTAGAAATAAAATACACATAGTATGTGACTTACTGACATTGCATTAACAAAGTAGACTCTAACAGTTTATCTATTTTTGGCCTTTATGTCTACCCTAACAATTTTGAGGTGAGATATTTATGTTTATGAAACCTAATGGAAATGATCTCTTCGATGGGCTTCACATTCCGTACGTCCTAAGTATTTGTCCTTTGGAGAACTCTTCTACGTTGCTTCAGTGAAGCAAACACCAATCTTTTTTTTTTTTTTTTTTTTTTTTTTTTTTTTATTTATTTGTGCATACAGAACTGGGGTACAGGCCAGAGACTCAGGGGTGGTGAGAGGCTTCACCAGAGACAGAGTGGGGAACAGAACAGGCAGATCGACGAAGTACACTGCTGAGGGGAGCAGCGGGCGGGTCAGTTGAGGTCTGCCGCGCCATGTGGTCACCTCCGGGGCAGGCGGGGATCTAACTCATGCGGAAGTGGCTTTAGCTTCTCAGTGCTGCGCTTTAACCCGCTGTGCCAGCAGGGAGGGCCAAGCAAACACCAGTCTTTTAAAGGATTGATATTGATACCTTTTAGTTCTCTTTTCTCTATCCCTTATATATCTATATAAGATTATATACCATCAGCTTCTGCTGTCTTTGTCCTAACACTGTCCATTGCCTTCCTTCACCTAAGTAAATGCAGTTGTCAGCGGAACCTACAGCCAGATGTTACTTTACTAATAGTTTCAAATGATGGTTATGTGTTTCATCATATCATCACATACACTGACAAAGATCACGGTGTGCTGAATCAGGGCACAGAAAATAGTGTATTAGTTTGTAATCATTGACATATAGCTAAACAGGGAGGAAAATAGTTTTACTTTAAAATAGTGTTGAATGAAGCAATGACAATATTTGAAGTTTTACCTTTGTGTATATGTCACTTAACAATGTGTGATGGAAAAGGAAGTTTTACTATATGATAGAGTAAGTTGGTTATTGTAAATAAAAGCACTTGGGGTTTGAAAGACATACAGATCATGGAATTGAATAGAAAAACCAGCAAAGAGTATTCAGTGGAACACAGACAGTTTGTTCAATAAATGGTGATGGGAAAGTTGGGCTGCTACGTGCAAAAAAAAGGAACCGAGATTACTACTAACACCACACACAAAAACCAACTCAAAAGGGATGAAAGAACTAGACATAACATCTAAAAACATGAAATGTATAGAAGAAAGTAATGGTGAATCACTACATGACATACACCTCAGTAGCATCTTTAAAGAGACATCACCCAAAACAAGGATAGTGAAGGAAAGGATAAACAGCTAGGATTACATCAAATTGAAGAGCTTCTGTACAGCAGAAGAGAAACTACATAAATCAAACAGACACCCCACTGAATGGGAGGAAATTTTCACACCAAGATATACAAAGAGCTGGTGGTGTACGTATATTAGGCGTATATAAATGTTACTCAACAAATATAAAATAAACAACTCCATCCAAAAATTGGCAGAAGAGCTGCAAAGACACTTTACCAAAGAGGAAATGCAGATGGCCAGAATATGAAAAACATTCAGCATCAATTGTCATAAGAGAAATGCAAATGAAAACCACAATGAGATACCATCTCACACCAGTGAGAATGGTACATACTAAAAAAACAAGCAATAGATGTTGGCAAGGGTGTGGAGAAAAAGGAACTCTCTTACACTGCTGGTGGGAATGCAGACTGGTCCAACTACAATGGAAAGCTGTGTGGAGGTTTCTTAAATTGCTAAAAATGGAGCTTCCATATGACCCAGCAAATTCACTTCTAGGTATCTACACAAAAGACACCAAAACAATCATTCAAAAGGACACCTCCACCTCTATATTTATTGCTGCCCTATTTACAATAGGGGTGATGTAGAATCAACCCAAATGCCCAAAAATAGATGACTGGATCAAGAAGTGGTATATATACTCAATGGAATAACTCAGCAATCAAAAAAGATAAACTCATGTCATTTGCAGTAAATGCATGGAATTGGAAAAAATTATGCTTAGTGAAATAAGCTAAAAAGAAAAAAGAAAAATACTAGATGGTTTCACTCATAACAGGAATGTAAGGGATTGGGGGGAATATATATATATATATATATATTTATGTACATACATACACACACTTAGTAATTGTAATAAAGTAAAAAAAAAGAACATCAACTAGTAACTATAAACCAAAGACATTCTGCAGAGAAGGAGAGGGGAACAAGATCAAAACAGGGGTGGGAAGAGCACATGGGACTGCGGTGATGTCACATGGGTGAAGTGGTGGTGGAAAGTTCACAGGGATTCCAACAGAGATTAAAATAAATGTACAAAATGAACAATAATGTAAAAAATATATTTATGTAATAGAAGAAAGAACTTGGGACTTGAATTGGGTACTGAAATGGGTATTTTCTTAATGTAGCATTATATTTGAAATACATAGAGAAACTGGTCATTTAATAAGGTTTTCGAGAAAATATCTGTCAAATACCTATCAATTCCTCCTTTTACTTTGGGTAAAACCACTTAAAATAATTTTTGTAAATGACAGGATCTGAAAATTTCAACAAAAAGTAGAATTTTGGTAACATTGAGTTCAGTACAGGAGCATTGTCATTTTCCAATGGGTATACACCACTGTTAAGATCAATGATGGAAATTAATGGGAATCCCATGCTGTGTAGTAGAATGAATCATTATGGAAGATTTGTATAATACATGTGTTCCAAATAATCAGGTTAGATATTTCAATATAATGTGTAGGTAAAAGATGTATTTCAAAGTGTAAGATAATGAGTTGAATTGTAATGTAACAGTACAAATTATCCACTCTTGCAAGGTTCAAATTGCAGCTTACTATTAAGAAATTATGGATGATCAAGCCTTGTTTTATTATCAAATAATAATGACAATATGTGAAAAGAGTAATGAAATAATCTTCTTTTCCACGTGCCTAGCTATATAAGAAGACAAATTTTTTTGTGTATCAAAACAAAGTCTTGCATTTGCATGCATTCAGAGTCACATTTTTGTTTTACCAAGTCCTTAATTAAAGAGGATGCCCTGTTTTCTATTTAGATTTTTAAGTAATACTCTAGTTCTCACTAAATTTAGAAGTCTGAGTTTCTATATGTGGAAATTGAAAATCTACAGCAATGATAACAGTATGCAAAAAGAATAAAAAAAATGCTGTGGACTAGTCTTATTCAGAAGCCAAGTGCTCAAAATGTGTCATCTGTCATGGTTAACACTTACTTGCAAGTATTGTGACACTATAGGCATCAGTAAAAGGGGAAATAAGAAGTAGAATGGTTTGTAAAATCTTATAGTTAGCCAAAAAAACAAGTGTTTTCAATATTCAGATTATGCTTTACAACTTAGTTTTGATTTTAAGACCTAGCAATTTTTTTTTTTCAGAGATTACTGTAATGACCTTAAAATATCAGATAACAACACCGAGTTTCTTTTAAATTTCAATGAGTTTATTGATAGAAAAACACCAAACAACCCATCATGTAAGTATGCATCAATTTGAAATTATTGCTTCTATTTGCTTCTAAGTGGTCTAGTGGGTTTGATTAGCTGTTGGTATGCTAGTTTATTTATTTAATATGAGTTTTAATAATCAAAGTAATATTTTATTAACTATAAAAAATATACAAGTTTCTCATCAATTGTATTAAATTTTCGACTATAGGTAATTTAAACTTTGCAAAAGTTTAAGTGCAAATAAGACACACTTACCATTGTACCTCTCAAATGAAGGAAGTTTAATTTTGAACTGCCTCTTGAGGCTTTTCTTACTACAGTGTTCTTGTTATAAACAGGGTGATTCAATGAATTCATATAAATCCCTGACTTTACCTACTGAGTGTTAATATTAATAGAAATGAAACAAGTTGTAAGAAAAAAAGCATTTAATGATTAGCTATGATCAAAAACATTCATTTTGATCACAGTTAAGTTTTGATGTTAAAAGGTTTTTATTTTATATATATATCCCATTTTATATAGTATATAAATTGGAATATATGAGAAATTGAATTTCAATAATAGTTTTCTCTATAGAGAAATTTACATCATTTTTACTATAAAGCCTTATAGGTATTGATAGCCTTTGACCTTTTTAAATATTTTTAAACTTTTTTCCTCTTTAACTTGTATATTATTGAAATGAAAATGTAAATAAGTGGTAAAAGAAGAAAACTCAACTTCCCGGCAAAGTGGGCATGAAATATGGCTTGATAATGACAATAGATGTATGATTGAAATTTTTATGTTCACTTCCGGTTTCCTTTTTCCTCTACTTCTTTGCATCTTGTTGCTCCCTCTTTCCAAATTTCACTCCTGTGTTTTCATTTTTAAATACAGTTGAGGCCTATAGGTACATGGATGCCAGGCATGGGTGATAACATCCAGCTGAGGAGCTGTGACGCTGTTCCCCTCAGTCATACAGTGTCATAAACCAATGTTACCTCAAATCACATAGATAATATTTTCGTTTCTACCAGAAACAAAATTAGTAAATCTCCACTCTTAATGTTGTCTCTCAAAGTTTAAAGTTATCTCATGAGAAATGACTTAGTGCTTCACACACAGCAAGTGGTTTTCAAGAGTCTTTTGTCATGAGCTACACCAGGTACACCAGTCGTGCCTCCATGTAGGTGATTCCAGTGTTTCTACTCAATGGAGCTCACTGTAACTGAGCCAAAGCTCTATAAATGTTAAAATCATTTTCCTATTGGTAAGTAATAGGAATTTGCAAGATAAAGCTGAGTATCTTGTAGTGTTTTCACTATACTACTACTACTATTGTTGTTTTTAAATCATTAAAATTATGAATTTTAAATCATTAAAGCCATATATTCTTGATCTGAGTTAAATGAATTTTTATTATAAATGAAGTTTTAGAAGTTGCTTGTAGGTTATGTCAGAGAGGTTTGTAAGGGGAAAAGGAAGAAGGTAAAGTTACTGGTGGAACAATTTGTACTAATTGACAGTTGGTCCTTGCCTCATTCCTTCGACTGCCTCTATCTTGGAGGTGAAATGTTCTTGTCATTCTGAAAGTAACACGCTGAAGCTTTTTAGCCACTACTGCTACATTTCAAAAGCCTGTGTTAGAATAAGTGTAGTCTGTGATAAGTTATTCTTTTTCTTGAGCACAACAAATAGAAATCATATATGATGATAAGCACACACCGAATTACTTAACTACCTATGTTTGGGTTTAAAGATTGTCCACAAAATAATGGTTTGGAATTACCAAACTAATCAAACACCGCCCCCCCCCCACATACACACACAGAGATAGTATCCTTTTGATAAATTTTACAAAATGATTTGCCTCATTTAGAATTGACTTTTCTGCCACTAATGCTGTTCATATGTTGAAAATTATGAGGAAGATGAATGATGTAAACATGCAGGAAATAAAGAATACCTCCTTAAATTTATAGAAATGTTATATAGCCTAAAACGCTTTTGCAAGTAGGTATAGATAAAATGTTTAATTTCATAAATACCATAAACAAAAACAAATATGAGTGAAATTGAAACTGTTCTTTTTCTGTATTAGGTAACACGGATTTGATCAATAGGGTTTTGCTGGATGCTGGTTTTACTAGTGAACTTGTCCAAAATTACTGGAGTAAGCAGAAAAACATGTAAGTATTTGTCCTTTTTAATAAAAATATAGTCAGCACCTAAGTTTATTTTCTCTTTGGGAAAATAGGTCTCCTACGTGTATTTTTTTTTTCTTTCAACCATAGTTTTCTAGAATATCATTTTATATTTTTGACCACTTATATTTTTAGTTGTTGGAGTGTGTCAGTAGCCCTGACATCTGTCAGTACTCACTTTTACACTATAGTATAAATGAGCAAATGACCTTTTAATAGCAACACATCTGGTTAGGAAAGTGAGAAATATGAGTACTGATGTGCTGCTTTTATAGACTTTCCCCCTCACCCATCTCTGCGTAATTGCTAAAAGTTTCTTGTCGCAATGTTGACCTTTTTGTCGTAATTGGGATCCTACTTTCCATATAGAACAAATTATGGTAACTGATTTTTCTACTTTCAATGGGTTTTATTCTTCCCGTTGTGCCCGTCTGTTTTTCATGCAACTCCTAGTTGCCAGCATCTTATTGTTAAGCAGCATTGCATACTTAACTGTACAGGTGAAGCTCTTCAGCATGGATTTCAAGGTCACTCATGCTCTGATCGCTTTACAGAGGCTGGCCTTGAAGTGTCACAGTTCCTGTTTGTTCTACTGCTTTTTTATTCTATCAAATAGTGTTGCTCTCCTTTAGCTTTATGACCATATAATACTATCTACTTAATGTGTGGCTTTTGTTTTCCTGTTTTCTCTGCCCTCTCTGGTAATTCCTGTTCCAACTTTAAAAGGCAACTATAGTATGATGTGTTTCTTAAACTGCCTGCTTTTAAATTCTTAATTTTGGATCTCTTTGACTATTTCAAATGTAATAATTTGCAACTATTGATGTATTTATTTTTGGTAAGTAAATCAAGCTCCTTTATTTTAGGTTGTTACTTTGCTTCTGTTTCTATGAGCAACACAATATTCATATTAAAATCTTCTGTCTTCCGTTTCAGCAAGGGAGTGAAAGCACGGTTTGTTGTGACTGATGGCGGGATTACCAGAGTTTATCCGAAAGAGTAAGTTCAAATAATGTGTGTAAAAATCAGTACATTTTGAGATCTATTCCAAGGACGTGAATATTACAGTAAATGTATGGCATCATTCAAAGAAAGTGGTGCTTAGATTAAATTGGAGCCATTGATTAAAGTACTTGCACTCTAGAATCACACCATTTTTTGAAAAGTATATTGTAGTCATATTTTTGCTTATCAGTTATTGTTAAAATTTTAAGAGATTTCAAGAGGGGTTTATCCTTGTTAATATAAACTACCCTCATTAAATAAGGCAGTTGTAGCCCACTGGGAATATTTGCATAGCCCTTCAGTGTTCTTCTGTGAATCTTCTCAGTTTGTCTTGAATAGCACATCAGGTAGGCTAGGTGGGCACCAAAGTTTATTGTTATTAAATGACCTGGTCAGTGATCTGCAGAGTATAATTTGGAACCAGCTGTTTCTGGGTCATGAATATAAATCTGTACTGATATATTACATTATAATTAGTATCAGTTACACTGCCAATTACTACCAGCTTCCTTAGACATACCTGAGACAGGGATTTCTGTTCATTGTAACGATGTCTGCAAAGGCAAAGTAGGTTATTGGTTAGATTAAAGATACAAATGATGAGTGGTTTCCTCCTTAGGGCTGGAGAAAATTGGCAAGAAAACCCAGAGACATATGAAGATAGCTTCTATAAGAGGAGTCTAGATAACGATAACTATGTTTTCACTGCTCCCTACTTTAACAGTAAGTATTGCTTTGAAAACCAGCCTGTCATTTTTGCCTTTGTCAGAAGCTAATTGTTGTTAGCACTTGCTGTTTTGATTTCCCCCCAAATCAATATAGTTTATGCTAATTGGTTAGAAGAGTCATTATTAATAAGTGCGTCTTATGTTTAAGGCATCGGAAAGAGAGAACATTTATTTAGTGGAGTAGGTAAAATGTGTAAGAAAGCAGTCATTTTGTAATAGATGGCTTGTTTGCAGGCATGCATGACAGAGTGACATATGTGGCTAATCCCCCATTTCATTAATGAAATTATATTGAAGAATGTATAGTGACTTAAAAAATAACCTAATTATGAGTTAGAGTACTCCAAAAATTAATAATAGCTCATATTTTCTCATTTAATCTTAATTTCAGTATCTCTGAGTATAGGCATTTTATCTTTTTTTTTTTTTTTCCACAACTGGGAAAGCTGAACTTTGGAGAATTTTGGAGGTGTTTCTATGGGCATATATGAAAAAACGTGTAGGGGTTTGAAATCGATCTTCCCTCTTCATTTCAGCAGTCTTCCCATTATTTTAGGTACTGTCGGGCAACAGATTTAGCATGAGCTCATTCTTTTACAGAAGTAGGTACACTTCAGCTAAGACATTCACCCCTACTTAGCCTGGTATGTAGAGGAAGAGGAGATCACACAGACTTTATAGTGTGTATTAAAGAACACCATGTACTCACATTTACTGAAAGGGATGTCTATTTTTTTTGTTTTAGAAAGTGGACCTGGTGCTTATGAGTCTGGCATTATGGTAAGCAAAGCTGTAGAAATATATATACAAGGAAAACTTCTCAAACCTGCAGGTAAGCATACATATTCTTTACATTGACATGAGGAAAATTACATATGTCCTAAAAATACATTATTAATTGGCATTCATTATCAAGAAGGCAATCAAAAACCCACGCAATGTAAAGTCAAATGCATCTAAACAAAAACAAAAAAATGCTTATGTCCACATATTGCTGATGGAAGTGTATCAAGTTAGTATCAAAGCTGTAAGTGCTGTACTGGTCCGTAGTCCTATTTAGAAGACTCCTGTGAAATGTTTATATCAAAGCTTATATGGTCAACCATGTGAGTATTTTAGAAGTGTGTATTATAATGTTACGTGTCTGTTGACAAGCATTACATAGAGCTCGATGTCATTCTCCCAGAGACCTGAGGTGTCTCCATGGCTTTTCTGACTCTGAGGGCAGTTGTACTGTCTTTGGTAGAACTACAAACATTTCCTTCATGACTTATGAACTCATCCGTCCTTCTCTTCATTCATGCAACTGCTTATATGGTTGGCCACTCCTAATCAGTTTTAAACACCCACTCATGCAATGAGTAGAAAAGGGACAGGAAGAAGCTTCTTACAACACTTTGCTTGAATGACTTCATAGCTTATGCCTAACTATTCCTGACATTATTACTGTCTTTGAAGCTTACTGTATTTGTTGATCAGTGAAATGGTGCATGAATAAGCTTTGTGGTGCATGAAGTTGATGTAACAGTGTAAGAGCTACTGAGATTACTGAATGAAATTGTGAAGAAATAGATCTCTGAGTAAACATTATATTCTAGTCAAATTTAATGCCATTGTTTAAGTTACCTAAAGTATCAGAGAGCCGGTATTTTATTGCAGTTAACTAAAAGTAGTAGCCTTTTAAAGTAATTTGATGTGAGGTGAAAAGTAAATGAGATTCATAACTTTTGACAACATGTGTTAATATTTCATACATAATTTTTCAGTTGTTGGAATTAAAATTGATGTAAATTCCTGGATAGAGAATTTCACCAAAACATCTATCAGAGATCCGGTAAGAGAATATTTTTTTTTTAAAACGAAAAGTCATGCAGGACTTAATGTCAGAATACAAACTTAGTCAAGTATTAGAGGTTCAAAATAAAAGCTGAGTAACACTCCGTTGAAGCAAAATCTCAGCTTTGTGTGTGTGTGTGTGTGTGTGTGTGTGTGTGTGTATTACTCTCTTTCTCTCTCTCTCTCTCTATATATATATTTCATTGTTATAATTTGAAATATATTTAGGTAGATATTTTCTAATTATAAAGAAAACTTTTCTGTAGACTAAAGTATCAGTTATTTATACTAGATAAATTATTCCAAGATCCCTAGGTATAATATGGTAATAGATAATATACTGTAATTAAAAATGAATGTTATAGAAAACTGGAGTTGAAATTGTGTTTCTGTTTTTCAGTGTGCGGGTCCAGTTTGTGACTGCAAAAGAAACAGTGATGTAAGGAAATTCTTTTTAATGTGTAAATATAATTTGTTACTTTGTCACTAATAGATAAAATGCTGAAAATAGATTCTTTTGATGGCAAATTTGAAATGAAAGCGAAGTAAGGACCACTGGTCAACATTGTAAACCTTTTTAAGACACTATAGCAATTAGTGAGCTGTTTTTTTTTTTCCATCACAAATTTTAATTTATGCAGTTGGAGCAAATTGAGCAACCAGTCCATGGAATTGGGAACTAACTCAAATGAGAATTTACATCATATGCCTTTAATTCCAAGGTTTACTGGTTTTAATGTTGAAAACACTGAGGTTATAGGAAAGTATGAATAGTTGGAGCAATATGGACTATTTTTGTTGTTTTATAGATATTTGTATTTAGGTTGATCCCTGGATAGGGGAATTGTAAGCAAAGTGTGCTTTAATTATCAATGATATATACCCTTACATTTTGCACTTTTGTTTAAGTGCACCCCAGGAATGATACTGAATGTATTATTCAATGAATGAAACAAAAATGAACTCATTTAGTTTCTTCATTGTCTTCAATTCCCTGCTTCCTTGTAAGCAGAGAAACATATATACTGTCTTTCCGCTTTTAGTCGTGCAAAACTTCAAGTCATTATTTACATTAATTGTTATAGTTTAGGTAGTTTATTGCTAAAATGTGGCAATGCAGACAATTTGCTTAGAAAAAAATTGTAAGAAAAGATTATATCAAGCTGGTTTCACTTAAAAAAAATGAAATATTTACTTTTCCCAAAATGAAAATATTTTTAATGTGATTATATTTAAAAAAGAAGAACAAATTGATTCAATCCAGTCAAATGATTTATGCTATAAGGTTTTGTTTGGGGATTATAAATTTCAAGTGATTAAACCAAGTAGTTTTAAGACTTGAATATGAAGCATAGTGACTAAAAGACATTTTTAAAAGGTATGTCTTACCTGTTGGATAAAAATTACACATTAAATGTATCCATTTGTTTGGTTTCATCAATTATTTAGATAACTATTGGTAACAAGAAGATTATTTCTGATTTGTTCATACTGAGTTAACAGTTCTAACTGAACAGAGAATGTTTAATGTCAAGCCCAGAGGATTTACTGTTAATTTACCAATGTCCTTGTTTATTTCATGAGAATCTTCTGAGCATTCACAAGAAAGTAATTATTTGAATTCTTCCATTTTTTCTTTTTATGACCATCTATACATAAGGAAGTAATGATGATCGCCTTTCTCTAAATGTGTTCACTGGTATTTCTGTTATAACAGGTGATGGATTGTGTGATTCTAGATGACGGTGGGTTTCTTTTGATGGCCAACCATGATGATTATACTAACCAGGTAGGTGTCTGAATTAGATGAGAAGCGTGTATACCTGATCAATATCGTCAACCTCCCTCAAGCCTCTAGAAAGAGCATCTTAAGTCTAATTGGTTGAGAGAGTTTATCTCGATAAGAACGTTTATCACTTAGGCAATTGATTTATAATGAAATTAAACTTTTAGATAAGAGTTGAGAAATTTTCATATTGTATTTATATGTTATGTTGAACTTATTCATGGCTGGTTTGAAGTTGGAATTTTAACTATAAATTGGTACCATTTAGGTTCCTTACCTCATTGCAGGGTTTTAAATAAATTAAAAGAAGCTGTCAGTTTTATTTGTCTGTATACATTTGCCACTTATCTGAAAATCAAAAATCTAAGAGCCCACCTTTGTATTCATTCCTGACTGAACACATTTTGGGCTGTAGCTGTTTAGCTAGATTACTTTACCAAAAAAAAAAAAAAAAAAAAATGATGCTAAAGTCAGCCCCTTTCCTGTGAAGTTGCTCAATTTTTTTAGTTTCTACGTGTTCCTTTTATTTTTATTTGTTACTGCTTTGCTGTCGCAGGAGACATTCGATTATGATCTGAATGTTTGAGAAAGCTGGTCCTTTTCCTCCACAAATATCAGCGAGATCCACTGGGTAATGAGAACACCTTGTAGTATCAGCTGAGGTCATTTGAAATGTCATCTACCTAGGCTTACTACCAGCTCTTGTTCTAAGTGCCAAAGCCTATAATCTAGTTCCTTTATGTATATAATTCTTTACTGTCTTCAATCTGAAACTTTCTTATTTATTTTTATACCAGATCGGAAGATTTTTTGGAGAGATCGATCCCAGTTTGATGAGACACCTGATTAATATATCGGTTTACGCTTTCAACAAATCTTACGATTATCAGTCAGTGTGTGAGCCTGGCGCTACACCCAAACAAGGAGCAGGGCCTCGCTCAGCCTATGTGGTCAGTAACCACTGGAAAGCTCGTTCTTCCTCACAGAGCCTGGCTGGGTGTGGCCTCACAGCCTGACCTCTCATTGTTTCGTCCGCAGCCATCCATCGCAGACCTGCTACATGTGGGCTGGTGGGCCACAGCCGCTGCCTGGTACGTAGCGTGGTGACGTTATTGGTCACGAGAGAGAGAGGTGCTGTGAGGGAATGACGCATGTGATAGAAATACGCATTTATTATTTTAATTACGGTATTTTCATTTTTCATTGTCAGTGTATATTGGCAATATAAAAAAATTCCTTCAAAAGCAATGTAAGTAGTTGTTTATTACTACAGTATGATTATACAAACTGCAACCTCTCTAGAACTTCAGTTTTCTAGGGATGTGTTGAAAACTTTGCATTTGTTTTTCAAGTTCAGTTTATTGTGTAAAATATTAGTTGCTTTCAGTACTCAAAATAGAGGTCTTCACTCACCAGAGTAGGAACAAGATGAGTTAAATTTTGCTTCTTTTCTGTGAATGTACAGTCTAGCCCAGTGTTAGGTCCTCTACTGAATCTGAAGTGGATAGCATTGTTCGTACTCATTCCTATCTCCTATAACCTTATCACATCTCAAAAGAAGATATGTAAACAGTTGGAGGTTTTGTGTAGCTGTGAACAGTCAAGTAAATTTCTGGCATGTGTAGAATCTGCTGTCTCCCTCCCCATTTTCACTTCTTCCCAGCAGTCTTTTGCATCCTGATCGGGATGTATTGTCAAAGCCATCATCTTGGCACATTCATCTGAACCAGTGATTTGATGTCAAGGATTTCCCTACTAAAATCAAATATTAGTAAAATGGTATCATGTTTTCTAAATTGAAGCGATTTTAAAATGCTTGCTTTGTGCTGGTTTCTGCCAAGAATCTACCTCTTCCTTTATTATTTAGGAGGCTCAGTTCCTTGTGATTCCATGTTGACATTTGACTCATTTGTGACTTCCTGTGAAATGGATGCGTGCCATGTATTCTGTGTATATGTGTTAACTGGAAGCTACATTATTTGTGTACAAACATATTATCTAATAGCTGAAAAACCCATGGTACAGGGGTGTCCCTTCCCCTCCCCTGTTTACTTTGATAAGTTAAATGGAAACAGAAATTTGAAAGGGATACCCAGTGTATCAGAGGGAACCTCTTTCCATGATGTCATTCCATACTCGGTTCCTTTCAGGTGTGTCCCCTTTACTTGGTGCTGAATATCTCTTATTTCATTAAATTTTCAGGAAAAGTGTTGGCATTTTGTATAATGTAAGGAAAAGTTATAGTGAAATGTGAATTTTTAGTAGCAATTTCTACCTAATTTTCATATAAATGAAGAAATTAATTTATGCATATATGTAAAAGTCATGAGTTCTTAGAAAAGAATTTATAAAGAAAAAATCTAGATCTTTATTAATTATTAATATTTAAATTTAAGGTCTATTCTACAGCAGTTTATCTTGAGTTTGACATTTCCACGACTCCTGGAAGCAGGTATGTACATGCTCAGATATTGTCACATTGACAAGTGAAAATATGTATTTGGGATGTGCTGGCTTCGACAAACCACGTGCACTTGTGCTTTGAAAGAGAACTAACTTAGAGTTAGGGTGCGTCACATCTCGTCAGAGCTTGGTTATAGCTTTGAAACTGCAAGTTTCCACTGGTCATATGCTCTCTCTGATATTTGAGTTATTTTATTGCTGCTTTTTAGGTATTCTCTAGATATTCTACTCTATTACACAATAGTGGGCAAGCAATGAAGGTCCTGACTTTATACTTTTGTTATTCTTTACACTCTACCATCTGTTGATGCTGATCTGTGTTTTCACTTCTCACAGTTGAGGTAGATGATGAAGATTTTTCAGCCTCTCTGTCCAAGCAGAGCTGTATTACTGAACAAACCCAGTATTTCTTTGATAATGATAGCAAATCATTCAGTGGTGTACTGGACTGTGGCAACTGTTCCAGGTAATTTATTTCCTCATTTGTGGAATATTTTGCTAAGGGGCAACTGTTCACTTTTAGAATCATTACAAAAAGTAGTGGAGAAGGTTGTTGTCCATTATATTTCATGTTAAATTCTTTGTAATGTGAAGTTGAAGAAGCAGTTAGAATTAATTATACATTGTTATATATATATATATATATATATATATATAGTAATTTAACAGTGTATCATATGTAAAATTGAAGATACCAGAATATAAGGTGATGCTGAAAGGAGCCTGTGTGAGTAGGCTTTATTGGGGCCAGAGAAGAGAGCTTTATTGAGGCTGTTGCTGGGTGGGACCTCAGGGAGCATGGGTTTTTGTCCAAGAGAATGTGGGGAGAAAATTTATACTAAAAGGTAGCAGGAGGAGGAAAGGGTATTAGCTCAGCATAGCAATGGTGGAATGTCTGGATGAGGAAGTCAAGCTCCCGGTGACCCTCTGTCTGCCGAGGCAGGGATGCCGGCAGAGTGTTTGTGGTCATGACATCTCTTTGTAGTGGCTACTGTCTGCAGGCTGAAGGTCAGGGTGCTGTTCGGGCCTCCCTGTGCTGCCTGCACTGGCCTAAGAAAGCAGAAAAGGAGTAATGTATAAGGTCAAGATGAATAATAGTCCAGCATTATTCATAAAGTATGGTTAAGAATTTTGGGGATGAGAAGAGGAACCTAAGTAGGTTTTATGAGGTGGAGGATAAAGACGATACTGGTATATGAAGTTTAAGGGAGCAGTGATCTTCATGATGCTGGATTCCTAGTGATAGACCCGAAGGTCACAGCTCACGAAGCACAGAATTGGAACATTCTCTGCTTTAGAGAGTGAAGGTAGTTTGTTCTTGAAAAAACAGTAGCAGAGATGAGAGGTAATTTGAGCTAGAGAAAATGCTAGAATATTTTTTTTGCTAGAGGATTTAGAAAAACAGTTTTATCATAATTTAAAAAACATACTTAAGGAAAGACTATTTTTAAGAAATTTTCATGTTTTGGGAGGAGATGTGGTTATGATAATGGGAGGAAAGGGAAGCAGTCAGGAAAGAAGTCAAGAAAAGGAGAAACAGCTTGTGGAGGGGGACATGTTAGGACACAGAATTCTGGCTTGTTAGAATGTTTAGTGACTATATAACATGTAAGCATGTTTTTCTACTTAGGTGACGATGAACGCTCCACATAATCAAGATAGGAAATTCAATCATGGCCGTTGGTCTATGTTCAGATTTCCAATCAGAAAACAAAAATGTTGCACTGTGAAAGCAATGCATGAATGTAAAGAAAATACTTTTTACTGACATGTGTACCCTGTGGTAAACTGTAGAGGCAGCTTAAGTGGTGGATGTCAACAATTGCAGGGAATAGAAAGTCGTTGGTTTTCTGTTTAATTTGGTATTTACCAAGCACAGTTGGTGATCGTAACTACATCTTTTAGAAGATAAATGTGTTGTCTCAGCCAGATTTCATGTGAACACAGACAACATGCTGTGGCTAGTAGTTATGGCACTGGACAAAGCAGAAACCATGGCCACGCTCTACAGGTGATGAGTATGATGGAGGCTTAATCTGCCATTAGGTTTGGCAAGATGGCGTGATCACTCGTATGCGATTTATCATCTGTAAATTAAGAGAACTGTAGCCTATTTTCTGTGATACACACAGACACTAGGCTTTTTATGCCTTTCAACAAGTAAGGGGTCCTCAAAAAAAAAAAAAGTAAGGACACTGACAAGGAGAAGGATTTTTTATTAATTATTTCAGAGAAAAATTACTGCATGGTAATAAATACAGGAGTCTGATATCAAACCATTCTGATTTAGATACTGGATTTCTTCATCATGTTTTAGATTTCAGATGGAAATTTGGAAATTCATTGTAATAATGGATAGTTTATTCTGTCCCCAAGATAGACCTAATTCAGTGTTTATCTTACAGAATATTTCATGTAGAAAAACTTATGAACACTAACTTAATATTCATAATGGTGGAGAGTAAAGGCACATGCCCGTGTGACACTCGCCTCCTCATCCAGGCAGAGCAGACTTGTATCCTTCTGTATGAA